AAGACTGGGGCCAAAATTGCCCTGCTGTCCAGGAGTACTTTGCTCGTGAAATGGCTGTCTACTATGACATGGGTCAGCAGAGGATGCAACGGTTGATATACCGGAGGCTGCACCGGGCCTACCGATCTCCCGCTTCTTCGTAGAGGGTTCGCCCCTAGATTTGTCGGTGTTTACCCACGTATTTTTGCACGGGCCACTTTTAACAAATTGGGAGAGTTCCCCCTGACGAATCAGGTGCTCGATGGCTTTCTTCAGCGTGATGCAGTCGTCGGTGTTGTGTGAGGAGTTCTTGTGGAACCGGCAGTAGGTGCCGCCTTGCTGGATGGCAAGGACTTCCTCTGTCGGCCGAGGAGCTTGTTCAATGAGGCCGTGCTTCTCGGCATAGTCGAGGATGGTGCTGACCGGGTGCGTGAGGGGGACCCCCGGCCGTTCCAACCTCGGCCGCCAATGGCGGTCTTTCTTGCTTTGTCCACCAGAGCCGTGACAGCCCTGGGCACCCTGGCCGGCCGGGGATGTTCCTGGAGCCGGCGAAGGATTTGTCTTCTTGGAGGGGTGGCCTCCGTCCTTCTTGTGGTTGTGGAGCTCGTCGGCATCGGCGTACAAGCTCCCGCGCTGAAGTGCCTTCGCATACGACCTCGGAGGGTCGGTGATGAGGCTCCGGGCATACGGGGAGCTGCGGAGGGCTCCCTGGTAGAGGACGAGGAGGGTGCGCTCATCGGCCCCCTCGACCTCTTCGGTCTCCCTCGTCCACCGATCAATGAATGACCGGAGAGGTTCGTCATGTTGCTGCTTGACGAAGAGGAGATGGGTGAAGTACTTCTTCGCACGCTTCCCCCCGGAAAAGTGGGTGAGGAAGCGCTGGGCAAGGTCCTTCCATGAGTCTATACTTCCTTCGGGAAGCGCGTTGAACCACTCGTACGCCGGCCCCTCAAGAGTGGAGAGGAATCAACGGCAGAGGTATTCATCTAATGCATTCACCATTAGCATGTTGTTCTGGTAGCGGCTGAAGTGCTCCTGGGGGTCTGATCGGCCGTCATAGGACTTGATGGCGTTTCCCCTGTACTTCTCCGGGATGGGAGCCGAGAGCACCTTGTTAGTGAAGGGAGTCTTGGTCCTGACCTGGATGACGGGGTCACCTCATCCTTCGGCCAATTCCCTCTCAAGGGCGCTGACCTTGTTCATGAGTGCATTGAGGCTAGGATCATTGGAGACGCCGGCCGTGGGAATGTTCGCCGATATTCTGGCCTCCATCTGGGCCAGCCTCCTCTCCAGTTGGGCGATAACCTCGTCCCGAGGGTCCCTGGCGGCCGGAGTGGCACCCTGTTGGTTTTGCATGCGCACCTCGTGGGCCGCGTTGATCGGGTGGCACACGTCGTCCTCGTGCAACTTTCCCTTGCCCTTGTTCAGGTGGGGCTGGTCCGCTGTCCGGGACACAGACCCCAGACTTTCCCTTGGCGAGCCAGGCCGGCGCTCACCAATCCGTCCCGCCATCCTCTCCGAAACCGGACGACGGCGCGTGTCACCCAGCCTATTGAAGGCAGAGGCTTTTCCACGCGCTGGGGTCGGTCCGGGCCAAAGAGGGGAAGCAGGGTGGGAGTGGGACGACGTCGTGTCCTGGGCTATCACCCTCTCATCGTTGCCTAGCTTGGTGGCCAACGGTTGGGGTTGAGGAGGTGGAGTGATGTTCCCCCCAGTCCTTGGCATGAGTGCGCTGAGGACGGTGGGGTTCTGAGCCAAGCTGGCAATGATGACCGATAGTGCGGCCTGAACCTGTGGGTCAACAGACGGAGAAGCCGTGGCCAAAGGTTGGGCCGGGGCGTTGTCTGCCTTCTCTGCACGCTTCTTACCCAGGCCGATGCGGGCATCATGGATGCCGCTGTTGAGCTGGTTGCGCAGGTCCGTCGTGAGGTTGATGGCTGGCCTCCTGGAAGACGTCCCCTCCTCCGACCTGGTCGGCCGTGGCGTCCTCCTCACGCTCCCTGTTCTCCTGATCCTCAGGGATGGCCTTGCTGACGAGGTTGCGGTTTGACTTAGTTCTTCCCATGATCAGTGGTTAGCTGTGCTTGGTAGTGACAAAGGATGCTAACTTGATTGTTCTAGCTCTCAACGAGAGCACCAAATGATAGAGTATATATCTAGAGAAAAGTGAGAGCTAAAGAGAGAAGTGCAAGTAAATGCTTCAATAAATGATTTTTTGAACCCCTACAACTACTCCCAGAGGTAGTATTTATAGGGAAAATTAGGGCTGGGCTCCCAAGTCTTGGGCTTGGGAGGCCCACTTACAATAGGGCCACTATTGGGCTGGGTACAAGAGATGTATAAATAATTAAGTACAAGATCCTATTCTGGGGGCCGCTCGTGGCCGATTAGGGCACGGCCGACGAGGGCATGGCCGACGAAGACCCGACCGACGAGGTCACCCGGTTCTCTTTGCTCCTGGGTCGTGTTCTGAGTAGACTGCCTTCTGGCCGATGGGGGTCATCTGGCCGACGAGGGTCCCATCAGGTGATCGTGGTACCTTCTGTTCTTCCGAGTGTGTGGGCCGTGGGGTCCAGGCCCATATACTCCATCAAAACATATATGGAGTTCTATTATACCGAACTTAAACATAAAGGTAAGATCACAAAATTTAGAAAAAATGGTCAAATAAGGCCTTCTACTATTATGAAATAGTCACATAAGACCATGTACTCAATAAAGTGTCATATAAGTACATGTACTTGTATAAAGCAATCAAATGAGTCCTAATGGCTTATTTAACACCTCCTAATCCCGATTTTAGCTTACATGACGATTTTTTGACTTGTATTTCAATCGATGTTAGTTAAATATTCAACATATGTCGTATAATGTATTCTAAAAAGATGGTCAGAAGTACGTTGAAACCGGGATTAAGAGGTGTTAAATAGGTCATTATGACTCATTTGATTGCTTTTTACAAGTAAAGGTACTTATATAAAACTTTATTGAGTACATGACGTGATGGATAGTCTACCCGAGGGTATGTATCCGAAGGGTTACTGCGGAGAGTAACTAGAGAGAAGTCAGAAGCAAGTAAGAGAGAGAAAGTGTATTGAATATATGAGTCCAAAGTGTATTCCGAATCTGGTTTACAAAGGGGAAATGAGGTGCTATTTATAGTAGCAATAAATGCGAGACGGGGACACGTGTCAAGCATCCAATGGCCGAGGGGTCACATCAACCGGGTGTCACTGGCATTCGCAAGTGGCCGCATTTAATGCGGCGGTTGGATGTGACGTTGTACTTGGTACGGCGACCCAGGCGCATGTGGAGAGGATATTCTTGACGAGGAAGGTACCCTCGGCTGTAGATGATTAGCCGAGGGCTGTTCCTATCGAAGGCCCCTTAAGGCCGAGGGCTCCAGGTGCCGAGGGCTACTGTTTTTCGCCGTTTTCTCCCAGTACCTTTGTATGCTGAAAATAGCCGTTCTGTGAGTATCTGGAGCCTTCGGCCCAGGGGCCGAAGGCACCCTCAGTGTGCATTGTTGGCTGCTTGGTACTCAGGGCGCTGAGATTTGGGCCTGTTGTGCTTCCTGGGCCTATTAGGCCTTGGTTAGAGTAGTAGGAGTCTATGGGCCGGAGGTCCCTGGGCCATATACTCCATCATGACCTTATGTAACTACTACGTATTTCATAATAGTAGAATGCCTTATTTGACTCTTTTCTCCAAAATTTAAATCTAATAAAAAACATGGTTCATGTTAATTGATTGCTATGTGTGAATCTTTAGAAATTGGCATAGTCTAAATATTAAATAAGTTAAATGGATAAGAAAATTTGTGATTTTTTCTAATACTATCACTTATCTATCATTAGTGAGTCATTTGTTTTAAAAAAAGTCCCTAATTCAAAACGGGGGAAACATATTAAATAGACATACCGTCCTAATCAACAATAAACAACGGTTCGTTTCACATACCACCTAACATACGAAAGCATAATACAATTTTTAAAACGTATTTACTCTGTTCCATAAAAGTTGCAACATTGGAATTTCTGCACTATTCACACACCTTACTTTGACTACGATTTTCTAATAATATATATAATAAAAATATTATGTATAAAATATTAATAAATTTGTATTAATGTAAATTTCCAATATATTAACTTTTTTTAATGTTTACTAATACGTAAATAAATATAATTACAGTCAAAGTTGCACGTTGGCAAACGTGAAATTTAAACTGTTGCAACTTTTATGAAACGGAGGATAGTACTAAAGACTAATTTTATCGATATAACATAAATCATCGGCCTCACTCAAAAAGGCTTACGATTTTAAATTTTAACGAATCCAGTAAGTGTCTTGTGATATGATGATATTGCCGTAACGCTTTAAAAATAGTCACAAATTCAAGTCTCATCTTTATTAAAGATGTTGACATTTATGATGAAACATATATTATAATGCTAGTGATATGTTGATGATTAAGAGACCGTTTGGTAACACTGTTTTTCAGCTTATCAGACTTATTAGACAATTTTTTCACCAAACACGCAATTCTTGCTTTTGCGTGCTGAATTGTGTAATAATAAGAAAAAGTAAGATTGAAGTTACTTTTTTGGCTGTATTGGCTGAAGTTAATGTAGATCACCATTTTAGCTATTTTTACATATAATTTTTTCTTTATTTTATTAATAAAATATATTTTAAAAATAATTTTTTCTTAAATCAGCAGAATCAGCCAATGCAGCCACTTCAGCCAGAACTTCATAAATTTCAGCAGAATCAGCCAACTCAGCCGATTTTCGTGTTACCAAACGAGAAAATACATCAATAATGACCACCTCATCTTTTATTAACCAATGAGCGCCATCTCAACTGAGAAACATATTCAAGATTGTTTAGTTTAGGATGTTAAAATTGACTAAAGTTATACTAATGTGCTCACTGAGAAACATATTCAAGATTATTAACCAATGAGCGCCATCTTAACGGTGAACTTTTAAAGTGTTTATTTAGGCACTATCATAGATGATATCGATATTATATTTATCACATATTAAATAATAGTGTCACTAGCAATGAGGCACTTATGCTTCTTGTATGAATGGTGAAAAGGAGTATAAAACACATGTTACAAACATAGCATAAATAATTAAAAACCTAAGGGATTGGATTATACAAGTATACAAATTTATCTCTATGCTTGCAAGTTGTTACTCATTCGATCTCAACCAAATTAAGTTACATTATTCATCGAACCAAACAAGGTTTTGATCTATCAACAATGTACTCGATGTTCTGTCTCCCTTCGTTGTTATCGTTCTCCTCTTCTTCTTCATCCTCCGCATCCCATAGAAAGTGTGCATAGGATGCTAAAACATAACTTTGTGTCATGAAAAAATAAGAACTTAATTAGATAACTTGGAATGTCAAAACTAACATAGCATGACATAAGAAAGTATTTCACTTTTTTTCAAGACAATAAGATCATATTTGATTCTGGTTCTCTATTTCTTTCTTCATTTCTACTATGAATTTCTTACCACTTTTTATTCCTCCAAAAACTAGGTGTTCCATTTTCATCTTTTGGTTCAGCTTTGATAGATAAGTAGCCGAAGATACCAAAAGTGACAAGAATATATGATCATATTAAATTAAAACTAGAAAAAAAAAATTGAAGATCAAAATATGAAAAAATGTAATCAGTCCTTTAATAATGGAAGAGATATCTACTCTCCAGTCTCCACGATATCATATATAAGAAATACTTTCATTTTATGGCAGTGTTTGTATTTGCCTCCAATTAACTCATTCCATAAATTAGTGAAAGTGATATCTTGTAAAAGTTTATAGTGTTTGAAAATAAAAAGGCACTACCTAAATTTTTAAAAATCATTAGATTGTTTAAAAAAAAGTGTTTTTTGTGTATTTTGATAGAATACTAAAGAAAAAGTTGAAAACGATTTTACTTATGCTTCCTCACTTCACCGCTTTCAAAAAGTGTTTAAAATTAATTACAAAAATACTCCCTCCGTCCCGCAAAGAACTTCCCGGTTTGACCTACACACATACGGAGTATTAAGGAAATAAACTTACCAGGGGGTAAATTTTACTGTTTTGACACTGTTTCGACACTGTTTGACACTATTTTGCACTGTTTGACATTGTTTTGATGTAGATAACTTCCCATCAGGGAAATGAGAACTTCTTTTTGGGACTGCTAAAAAAGGAAAACGGGAAGTTCTTTGCGGGACAGACGGAGTACATATTTGAAATCAATACTTTTATTGAATACTCCGTACTTATTAGACATTGGGAATGAATATTTGGTTTAAATTTGAATGCCTATTGAATTGATTTGATTATTACTTCTTACCAATCAATGGGAGAAGTTTGAATGGCTTGATCATAGTAAGTCTGAGCTCTAGCAGCTGCATTCTTATTGGATTGCCATATCAATTCCGCGTACAATGACATTACACTTCCATCACTTGGATTTGCCAACAATGATCTACCACAATATTCTTCAGCCTTGATCAAATCGCCCTTCACCTACTTATTATTATAGTTTAAATCAAATGATGCTAGTAGCTTATTTGGGTAAATTAAGCTCACAATTTACATTCATATAACCCACCACCAATTCAAATCTTTTTTCTTTCGAGAGGATAAAAGTGAAGGGATAAATGGTCTTATAGTCATTAAAACAATGGGTTAATAGTAATAAGATCAAAATTTCTGATGAGTAATGTTGAACAATGACATAAATACAATGAAGTTATTTATTAATATTACTGAAATATAGTTAGTGGACAAAAAATATTAATATAGTTACTAATTTACTATGCAGCCATTATATCGGTAGAGTTGAGCACAATATATCATGATCATTAAGCCGTATATTTATGGGAGATTTCCCAAAATAGAAGTAAATGGAGTTTGAAATTCCAAAATAAGACTACTATGTTTTTATTCTCGTAGGACTAACACGTCAGTATTTATTGTCATCTTGTAGAGGCGTGACTGTCAAATAGTTGCAGTACAGTGCATTTTATATGGTAGTATTTATTATAATTAATGACAGTAATTTCCAATTGTGGCAGTATTTTTCATATATGACAGTAATAACTTCTATTTCGGGAAGAAAAACATAGTAGTTATATTCCGGAATTTCAAACCTCATTTAGTCCTATTTAGGGTAATTTCCCTATATTTATCCACTACATTTATTTCAGTAATATATTTTTCATTGTTTCTAATATATACAGAGTAATTAAAGATGTGTTAGATAATTAGGTAATTAGATTCTAAAGAATAACAAGTTGGTATAATTGCAGCTAGTTAGATTAAATGGTTGTAATTGACTAGCTAATTTAAAAGCAGTTTATGTTTACTTGACTTAGTATACTTTGTAATTTACATTCTTAACAGTTCGTATACCGTGGGATCATCCCACGGTGAGCACCGTGTTCCACTCCCAAAACGATGTAGTTTTGCACAATTTTTTTTTAAATCGAATGAACCGTACACGCGTGAACAGTACACGCGTGTACATTAACTATTTTTTCTTTCTTTTTGTCCCAGTAGCATGAATGATGTAACTCGCGTATAAAGATATGTAACATATGTTATTGATCAATGTAACTCAAGTCCATCCGAAATGTAACTTGCCAAATACATAGTATAAGAAATACAATATTGATTTCAATGTAAACAATGAAAAAAAAGAGTCTAATTCCACAATTGCTTTAGGTAAACCGTGAATATTTTTTGTTTTTAATATCATGACCATAAAAAATGATTTTTTTTAAAAGATCATTTTTTGTTTCAATAGCAGGGGTTGATTTTTTAATGTAACTCATGTTATTACAAATGTAACTCGCGTTGATAACAAATATAACTTAGGTGTATACAAAATGTAACTTGTTGGAAAATTGAACAATTTTTTTGTGTATGTTTGATAATATATATATATATATCTCATAAACATTGATTTCAATGTAAACAATGAAAAATTGATCCTAATAGCTTAATTACTTTTTTTAAATAGTGAATATGTTTCATTTTTAATATTAGGGCTATAAAAGTGATATAGCAAGGGTTTATTCCGTGGTGTAACTTGCATACGTTAAGATGTAACTCACGTATATTAAGATGTAACTCACGTACATTAAGATGTAACTCGCGGAGAAGAAGATGTAACTTCATGATATATTATCAAATGTAACTTCAAGAATCAAAATAAACAAACTCAATATCTTAAAAACCTCTAAAAACATATAAAAATGATGAAAAATTATATTATTGAAAAAGTGTGTCCATATAAAAAATGTTACAAAAAAGTGTATGAATATGAAAGTATATTACAAAAAATTAAAGTATATGAATATAAAAAATTTTACAAAAATAAAAATAGTGTATGAATATGAAATGCAATATACTTATTCTATTTAGATTAATAAACTTTTTGTTATGTATTGATAAAGAATAAAAAAATAGATTCAATTCTAACTTAAGATGAAGATAGAGAAAAGTAGGATTGCCATTAAATTTTTAGTATTTAAATTTGGTGGAAAAAGAAAAGAATTGAACAAAAGAAAAATAAAGAAAGAAAAGCAAAAGAAAAAGAATTAACGTTGCTCCAAGAACAAAGAAAAGGGAAAAGCTTGCCTAAAGTGGGATCAGCACACCATGCGGAAGGTGGACCGATCCCACGGTATAATTTGCCCATTCTTAATCATGCTTTGTGTAACTTATATATTGATCTGTTTCTCAAAGCTAGCTTATTGAAGAGCGTAATAACATGTTTTTTAATTCATATGGTCGAACTCAAGAAATGTTAATACATAACCGCTATAAAGAGTTGAGTTTCATCATATCCATGTGAAATTGTGAATAGATGAAAGAAGGATGTACGAACTAGGCCAACTTCAGCTTTGACCAGTATATGATCCACTTTATATTCCGTAGTATTTATTAACGATTTCAAGAGTTAGATTTATATTTTATCAAAGGTAAATTTTATAAACACACTTTTTTATATCTAACATTTATATAACTATTAAAATTAATCAACCAGAACACAGCCGTTTAATGAATTTGGAGGCCCCGTTCCAAATGTAAAATCGATGTCCCATATAAATATAAAAAATTAAAAAAAAACTCAATCGAAATATTTGTACTGAAATCAATTGAATACTCATCAAATAATGTAATAAAAATTCTAAAAATAACTTAATACTTGATTTAAAGCAACACAACTCATCACTCAATCAATTTGAGTAAAATATGGGTAGTATATTAATGTAGTATTTATTTATATTATTAATTTGTAATACTAATAATTTTAAAAAAAATTGGGCCCCCAAAAATCAGGAGACCCTGTTCTGTAGAACATGTTGAACATGCTAAAAAACGGCTCTGAACCAGAATTACCTTATTCCCTCGGCTTAGGCAAATTGTATATACAAATATGATAGATGTACTACCAAAAAGTATAGGGAGACAAGGTATGTGTTTTAATATAGGGAGACAAGGTATGTGTTTTAATATGAATTGTATGTATATAGATAATTATGTTTGTGTACATGGACAAGATATGGTAAAAGTGTACACAAAAAATGTCCGGAGCATTTTGGAATAAAGAGTTTAGATAATTTGTAAAGTACTACGTATGTATTTCCCGAAAATTAAGCTCCATCTTCAGCAAGTTCTCAAACGATTCAAGTTAGTTCTCATCGGGCCGGTCCTTCTCATTTCTGGGCCTATGGGCGGTACACTATTCTAGGCCTATATCCAAGACAAATCGTAAATCATATACTTATTTGAAATATGAATTATGATAGAAGTATTCAATGAAGTTCATAAAATAAAGGTGAGAATCACTTTATTATTATTTAAGTCATATATTTGGACAAAAGTAACAACACGAGTATCGGATAAAAAGAAAAAAATATTACTAAAAAACGTTTATCGTAGAACAATGTCAAGCAAATCATCAATAATCGCTTCATAGACAACCTTCTTTTCACTAATAAATATGAAAAATAATAAAATTACCACATATACCAACACTAAACTTTCTTTTGAACGGATAAATGAAAAAAAATATTACTCTCTCCGTCCCGAAAAGGTTCGCCAAATTGACTTTTCTTGGTCAATGACAATCAATTTTGACTAATAATATGTTTTAATACGATTTTTTTGAATATGAAAGTTATATCAAAATGTACCTTATTCAATATATTTTTATAAATTATATACAAATATAATAATTAAAATCATTGTCCAAAATTTCTTATCATTGACCAAGAAAAGTTAATATGGCGAACCTTTTTTGGATAGAGGTAGTACTACATATTGAATTCATAAGTAATGATTTATTGACCGCGGGTGGAAACAAATAAATAATTGGGATGAGATCTGAGAGAGATAGGCTCTAAAATAATTATATAAAGGTTTTATGTTATAATAAAAATGAATAAAAAGCCTTAAAAGCTAAAGAGATGTGAAGACTAAAGAGACGTGTCTTTTATTGATGCATCAACAATTGTATTAATTTTAAAAACTACAACCGATCCTATTTAAAATTAATGTATATATATATATATATTCTTTTTTAGCTTGACCCTCTTTAAGACTTTTTATTTATATTTTTAATTTTCAAATTGTCAACAAAATTAAACATTAGTCTAATAAATTGAACTTAAGAATAAAAAAACAAGCCTACTCAGACTATATATAAAAAAAAAAATTGGACCTATTTTTCTTCTATTTCTTAGGGCCTAGACGGTCGTTGTTCTTGCCCCCTCAGAACCGGCCCTGGTTCTCATCAAGTTAGAAATACATGAATACGGTGTATGATTTTAAATAAATATACCTCTTTCAAGAACCTTGCATAATTGCCAAGAAGCAGAGGATTCCCAGGATTGGCTTTGATCACCTTCTTGTAATACACATCAGTCTTCTCACTTCCATTATTTGGATCCCAATTCTGAAACCTATTCAGACCTCCCTCCCTCCCGCCGCCTCCCCCGTCGTCTCCGGCGACCACCGCGCCCCTCCTCCGCGCCCCCTTTTCTTCACACCCCTGCATCTCCTCTGTTCTCAGCCCATATTTCGAAAGCATCAAAACCTCTTCTGCCTCCTCCTCCTCCTCCTCCTCCTCCTCCTCTTCGTTTGCATCACCCTGAACTGAAGGCAGCCATCCATGACCATGAACGCACTTTCTTGATGATGATTGGAGTGATGATCTTCTTTCGAGGAGAGCTCTGCCCATTTTCCTCTGAGAACCACCAACCCAGGATGATGATCTTGAAAGTTTCATCATAGAATGAAGAGATAAACAATTCGCTTCTGGAGATGAGCTGTGATTTGAAATCCATGGTAGAGGGAAGTTGAGTAATGGAGTTGAAGAGCTTCGGAGAAGCATTTTTTAAATTTTTTGTAATCGTTATTTTTATATATTTGCCTTTCTATTAAGCCTGTTGTTGAAAAGATTGGATTTTTTTGGATTTATTAGTTGTATTTTATGAGAAACTAACAAAATGAGAGTTTCATTTTTTTTTTTTGAAGTTAAGGGGAGGAGATAGTAGAGAGAGATAGGGGTGAGAGTGAAAGGCACAATTTGCTTATATTTATATAGTAAGTGATCAGTAGGACACATGATGATAGAATGTTGTTTGATTGGTGTTTTGGGCAGTGGTCGGACCATATTCCATCAACACTGTTTTCTTACACTCACTCATATAAGCCCTATCTTATGCTGTCCGTTGGATTAATCTGCGTGGCGCAGTGCGATCAACTCTTAATTGACCTGAGGAGTACTATAGAGTATAGAGACACTTTTGGGATAAGTGACTATTTTCCATACTATCATTGTATTTATCCATTAAACATCATGTTATGTTTGGAATAACTTGAAATATATCGTCTGGTTTAGAGATTATTGTTTGAAACTTGATAGAAGTGACTGTAATTTAAATGATACTTGAATGGAATAGGTTTGTTTGGTTACATAGATCAAACGATGAATGAAAATGTAAAACAACCAAAAGAAGACATGTTTTAACATAAAAATTGTTAGTACCCAATTTTGATAGATTTTTATGACGCCACTATATTTAGCACGTGTACATTGTGTCTCATATAATAGCAGTTAATTTTAAGTGACAAAAATAAATGTACAATTTTTTAGACTAAACAAATATTACCAGAAAAGTAAAAATGCAATAAGGTGATTTTTATTTACCTTAATAGGATATTTAGATCCCACCGGCAAATATTATTTAGCTCAAAGATTAATTAAATGTCACATTTTAGAGAAAAGAAGCTCGAAAAATCAAATACATTGAATGTAAATGATTGAAGACAAAACTTGACCGGTATTTAATACCGAATCAAGTACTGGGACCAAAGCATGGGACGCACACTTGAAGTGAACTCTCAGCGGCCAATTATTCAAGATAGCCGCAATAAATGCTCCAGCACAAGAAGACAAGCGTACAACTCGTCCTTGCCTGATCTTTCAACGAACAGGATTAATCCATCCTAACCAACAGATGAGATTAATCAACTGGAGAAGCCTATAAATATAGGCTGAAACGAAAGTTTCTAACCAAGCTTGAGCATCCTAAGTAGAGAAATACTTCATCGAGCATTCACGAGATATCTAGCAAAAGAGAAAGTGTGATTCTATACTTTACTCTCTGCTTAGACTCTTGCTTCACTAAACTTCTTAGTATCAAGTGTTCATTGCTAAATCCTAGAATTTTAGTTCCTAGTTGGAGGTTAGAACTTTCTTGTAATCAAATCACAAATTGTTGTAAACACTTAGGAGAACAGTTGTTTCGATCCTACAGTGTGGTTAGATAGATAAAGTATCTTTTGATCCCCACTGGATCACTTGAGAAAAGTCTAAGGACTGAGTAACTGTGAGTGGTGTTATACTCATTGTGAAAAACCTTCAATCTAGGCCTAAGTGTTGTAAAAGCTAGATTGGCACTAAGTGTATTGGGTTTAATACTTTAGTGAAATCCATCTGAAATAGGGTGGGACTGGACGTAGGAGGATATACTGTGTGTTGATTAACTTTCATTCAACAAAGCACACACCCAACACTTCTCACAAAAAGATTGGAGTTTGCCAGCAGCATCCTAAGCAGTAGTCTTAATTGATCCCACTGCTTATCCTACTGCTTAATTATTTACTTTCTTTGAGACAAGCTTTTCACAAAAACCTTGTAAACATCTCTACTACAAGTGTGTCCTGTGAGATTTCTGATTCACAAACCTTAAGTGTAGCAGTTGCCTCAGCAGTCCCCTAATGACTACCCAACTGCTGAGCCCACTGCTCATATAAAAGTACTCCCTTGAAATATCTCAAACTTCACCAGACCGTCACAACGTTCCAAACAAGGAGTCTGTTCAAAATCAGTTTCTGAAACTTAAGCTGAAACTCAGCAGGTGCCTCAGCAGTTCACTCACTACTACCCAACTGCTGAGACCACTGCTTTCATTAAGGTTGATTATCAATCTATCTTGTTACATCATCAGAAAGCTCTTCTCACTCTAAGAAAGATTCTGAGTGCACTTTCATCATACACTAAATATTTCGCTAGCAGTTGCCTCAGCAGTTCCCTGCTTTCTAGCCAACTGCCAAGCTAATTGCTCACCTTACAAATCCCAAACTTCATCCATCATAGAAAGTTGTTATACACTATTTATCTAAGAGGTTAAAGACTTCGGTTGTGCATCTATAAATCTCCCAAAAGATTATAGATCAACTCATCTAGAAGGGAAAAGTTCTTAAAGTTGACAAAGCTTTAAAAGTCTATTCACCCCCCTCTAGACTTTTACCTCTATCCGAGACCATCAAGTGGTATCAGAGCAGAGTGTTCCTAGAGTCATTCACCGACTAATTTGAACTAAAGATCCAAAACCACTTCGCTTCCCAAACACTTTCTAAATATGGACAGTCAGCTAACAAAGAATCTTTTGTTCAACCTGAACAAATTTGATGACTGGAAGGTAAGGATGAAGGCACATCTCAGTGCTTTACATGATGAAATGTTGGAAGTAATTACTACTAGACCTATCAGAATATTGAAGGTCAGCACATCTAAAACTGATGACCGGGAGGATGTGTACATTCCTAAACCCAAATTGGAATGGACAACTGAGGGAAAGAAGAGGAATAATCTTGACAACATTGCCAAATAAATTCTCTTTAAATCTGTTGATGAATCCATATTTCCCAGGATCAGGAAATGTGAAACTGCAAAGGATGTGTGGGATGAGCTCACAAAGATTGGAGCAGGTGATGAACAGGAGAAGGATAATAAACTGACCATAGCCCTCAAGAGATTTGAGGACTTCAAGATGCTGCCAAATGAGTCTATTCATGAGATGGAATCCAGGTTCCTAAAAATCATAGCAGAGGTCTCAGACCTAGGGAAAGATCTATCCCAAAAGGAGATTTCCCTCAAGATCTTGAGAGGCCTGCCCTCGAAGTGGGACATGATGGTGACTGCTATGAGAGATAGCAGAGATCTAAGAACATTGACGACTGACAAACTCTTCAGTGATCTCAAAGCTTATGAATTTGAAATGAAGGAGATCAAGGATGAAAAGGAAGAAGAATCCAAGACACTGGCCTTAGTGTCTGAGCCAAGCACTTCAAAATCCAGTGAAAAATCCCTCATCAATCTCCTCACTGATGAGCAGTTCACTATGTTTGTGAGGAAGTTTAAAAGATTCATGAAGAAGGAGGGAACTGCTCCAAAGAAACCATACAATCTGCCACCTAAGAGACAAAGGAGACCTCAATCCAGCGAGGAAACTGTCCTATGCTACAACTGTAGACAACCAAGACATTACAAAAATGAGTGCCCTCTGCCCTTAGCCCAAAAGTATCAAGGGCAGCAGGGGGCTGGTCAAAAAGGTGGTTACAAGAAGGACTTCAAGGGCAAGTGACAAGCCTTTGTAAGTGAAAAGAGGAAGGAGGAACCCCAAACCGATGAAGAGAGCAGCTCAAGTGATGAAAGCTCTTCATCTGAAAGCTCAGAAGAAGCACTCCTATGTCTAGGATCCTGGCAGGTGGCTGAAGAAGGTAGCAGTCGGCTCACTGAAGAAAGCAGCAGGTGGCTCAGTGAGCCTTCCACCAGTGGAAGAGAAGATGATGAATGCAGCTCCCCTAAATGCCTAATGGACAAAGACCACTACAATGATGTTGAGGTAACATCCTGCTCTTCCTATAGCTCTAGTGATTCTGGACCAAACAATATCACACTAGAATCTTTATTACAAGACTTCCAAAAAGTCCAAAATCACCATGTTCTCTTAAGGTCAGAAAATGATAGTTTAAAACAAGACATTAAGGTCATTCATGCTAAACTCTTAGATGCCTTAACCAAAAACAATGTCTTAGAAAAAGAGAACAAAGAGCTGAAAGACAAAATGAATAACTTCAGCATGGATAGTAAAACAAGTGACCCTACTGCTGAAGTTGTTCTAAATAGGAAGAGGTCTAGGCTATGCATCTCCCACCAGACTCAATCAAAACTTCCCATCCACCGGTCAACAAACAAATACAAGAGAGCTAACCTACCAAAAATCCCATTCCCAAAATGTTCCCACAAGAAGGAACCTGCCTGTTCCCAAATCAAAATCCAAATTCCTGTATAAACAAAAACTTCCCAACCATCAGAACCCAAGAACCCGTTGGCAACCAACCAATAAGGCCGAGATAGATGACATGCAGAGAAATTGGTGGCTACGAGAGCTAATCAACAAATGTACTGAAGATATCATCAGGCTCGAGGACGATGAACGAAAGGAAGGGGAGAACTACAAGGAATCCCAGAAAACTCTTGAATCCGTCGTGAGACAATCAGCGGGAAGACTTCCCAAGACAGAGAAACCCTGGGACAACGTTCGAATCAAAGCCCCCTTCCAAGAGGAAATCAGAGAGCATATCTGGCGTAGACCAGACAAAGTCAAACCGT